CCACATATGCTACTATATTGTTTTAAACTAGTTGATTTATAAAAATGTTATCAACATAGTACAATTAATGATTCCAGCAAAGGACATTTGTGATACCTTAGGTATGTGACAGGTAATTAAAAAAAGTTGTACTGATTTGTCTAAAATGTTAAATGACATAATAGCCATACAGTAAAGTATTGAATAATTCAAGTAAATCAATGTTTTCTGAATTTTGTAGGAGTACAAACTGTCTTGGGTGTTAAGGTAAATCAATATAATAAAATAAAAATGAAGCGGTTTATAGTGATGAATGTATGGGTTGATAATAACTAGAGGTAAAATCTCATTTAGCCATTGTAACAAACAAGTTCCAGGCATCTTTTGTGCACTATTCCCATCAGAAAACATGGTATTATATCGTCAATTGATTTTAGCACTTAAATAGCTTTTCATTTGCAAGGCACCTAGCCTCAGTATAAACTAAACCTTTCCCAGAGTGTCATTAGTTATGGCTTGATTTAGAATGATAATACATATTTACTACCATTAGAGCTATTTGGTGTGTTTTATGTGGTTTGTAAATAACGCTATATTTTATGAGGAAATGAGAAATGTTCATTTGTTGTGTTGCTATATATTTGCAAGATCTAGGGTTTAGCATTTTTGTGCTTTACTGATCTCTTTTTACTCTCATTTCCAACGGTAAATCCAATGGAAAATATTTATTTTTCATTTCCCATAGCTAGGTCTGTATGCAGTTTTTAGTTTCCCATTTTGCTTGGAAAATAGAAGTATGGTATCATACGAGTATGTAGGGACATGTTTTTCCTACATAATGTCTTTCACGGTTTACAACAATTTTGAGATCTGATGAAATCTTTGGATTCTTTCCACAGGAAAAAAATACAAATGTAGACATAAACACAATGTTGTATATAATTTAAGAGAATTTATATTTACGCTGGATTCTTTTCATATTCAAACATCAAGGATAAAAATTAAAACAATGAAAAGAGCACAATTAGCAGTGTTGAAAACTTTGAATGCTTCAATGTTGTAGCTAGACTTAAAGTGATGAACGAAGGTAAAATAACTGCTAAAAATACTTTACTCATAACATTTATCCCTTCCCTAAAAATTCAGAAGATCCCACAGAAAAGGCCAAAGACAATAGAACATCACCAAGAAAAGATAGGTGGACAAAAGAGGAGTCATTCCTGACATGGGAGACACAAAATGGGCAAAGGACTAACACCCAGATTGCAGAAGAAAAAACATATAGAATAGTTTATCATTAAGTCTTGGTAGTGAATCATGGTGGCCTGTAGACAAACTGTCCGGAGTTGGATCAATTATTTTACATTGTGATCTTGGTAAATTATTTGGACTCTGATGCTAGCCTCTTCCACAAACTGGGGATAATAATAGGACTTATTTCATAGATCTGATGTGGAGGCGAAGCAGTTGACTCCATACAAAATGCTTAGCCCCAGGCCTGGCATATATTCAGCCGGAAGATCGGTACTAAACTCTGGGTGTGCTCTCATTTTCGTAGCAACCCTGTTTGCTGTGAGAGCTGCTCTGAACTAAAAGGTGGCTGGTCTTGGGAGTAGGGAAAAGCCCTGGATGTTTGTTTGGAGGGGCAGCCAGGCTAATTAGACTCTTTACCCCTCACTTACTTATGCTAAACAGTAGGCAACAGAAACACCTGCCTAGGTGAAGGAGCAGAGAGCGTGGGCCCTTTGGACAGAAAGCAGGAAAGAACCCTAGGCAGGAGACACCGAGATGAATGAAAAGTTTCCATGTCCAGAAGACTAGTCACAGGCATACCCTCTGACAATATGTCACCACTTCCACATCATCACTGCGGCAAGGTATAGTAAGCTTACACAGTACTCACAAAAAAGGGCAATGAGAAGTCTCAGCTTCAAAATGTAAGCAAAAACCAAGAATCAGCAAAACTCTCAGAAAAAATAATCCCATGAATGAAAGATCAAATTCAATAAACACAAAATAATTTTTAAAATAATGAAATGAAAGCTAATGTATAAAGCAACAGATAAAGACATTAAAATAAATATTAAAAATAACTTCAGAGTGATATGAGAGGACAATGCATCATAACATACCATACCAGAGATTTTTTGTGTGTGTGTGTGCTGAGGAAGATTCCCCCTGAGCTAACATCTGTGCCAATCTTCCTCTATTTTGTATATGGGTTGCCAACACAACATGGCTGCTGATGAGTGGTGTAAGTCCACATCTGGGAACTGAACCCCAGGCTGCTGAAGTGGAGCTCACCGAACTTAACCACTAGGCCATGGGGCCAGCACCCATACTAGAGATTTTAAAATTAAAACTTTTATTGTGGGAAGAAGTTTAATAATGAGCTGAATAGTAGAATGAAAGGAGAATGAGAAGAGACATTTAATAAGCAGGCAAATGAAGTGGGACATTTCCCCCAGAGGAAAAGGCAATGTTCATAGAGATAGAAACTGTAAAAGAAGAGTTAAGGGGTATGGAAGAAAAAGTATAACCTCCAGAAGGTACGAAGCAGAAGGTAGGGGTGAGAAAGTTAAAAAGGAGGAAAGTATTACTCATACTCATAAAATGTTGACTAAATAATACTGATAGCATAACTATGCTATTTTAAGGAAAAATGTAAACAAAAGAATAAATAAAATATGAGTATAACTTAAATCCCCTACCTTGACTTCAGCCATGAACTTCAGACTCATAAAACCAACTTCTTATTCAACATCACCTTTTGCATGTCTAATAGACATCTCAAATACAGTGCACTGAAACAGAACTCGTTTCTTTCTCCCCATATGGACAAAACTTCATCTGCCCTCTCCGTCTCAGTGAATGGAAACAACTGTCAGTTGCTAGACCAAAGATCTTAAATTATCTCTGACTCCTCTCTGTCTTTCAAGTGTATATCCATTCTAACAACAAATCTACTTGGCTCTCATTTCAAAGTATATGCAAAATCCTACCGATTCTCAATACTTCCACGATCTGTGCCTTTTTCTAAGCTACCATCTTTGCTTGCCTGGATATTTATATAACCAATCTCTACACAAATCTCAAATTAACCTTTTAAAACCTAAGTCAGATAAAAGCATTCCTCTGTTCAAAACCCTCCAAAGACTCTTCATCTCACTGTAAATTAAATTCAAGTCTTTCTAGTGTCTACTGGTTTGTATATGATTTGGCCTTCAGCTACCTTTCTGACCTAATCTCAATTATCTTCATTTTACCTGGCCTTTCTGTGGTTTCCTGAACATTCCAAGTGTCTTTTGCTTTTTATTGAGAGTCTTTGCACTGCTCTTCCCTCTACCCCAATCTACTTTGCTCACCTTTTGGCTTCCTCCAACAGGGATCACGAGAGAGCCCCACACATCGATTCTCTTTCCCTTCCAGCACTCAGAGCCTCACCACTATCATCTGTCTCAAATACGATGGAATTGATTTCATTATGTCTTCTCATCCTGCGTAAATAGGTTATCACAGAAAGCCTAAGACTCATTTTACCAGGCGTCTTAAAAACTCTAATTCACATAATGATGTAAATCTTCCTTATTCTCATCACTTTTAATCCTTCCCCAATTCCTAAAATCTTACTACCATGACTTCTGAAATGTATGGCCCATCATCTGCAAAATCCACTTTATCTTTCATATTTTCTCTGAACATTTCCTTATTTTTCTTGTTCCAGTGAACCTGGACTTTGCTGGAGAGGTCAGTGTTTCTGCACAGTCTTCTAAAGTGGTGACTGTTCTCCATGCTCCTGAAAAGATCTTGAACCACTGGCTCTGGGTATAGGATAGGTGTCTTTCCTGCTCTAGATTACACCCTGAGACCATTTTCCTCACACTTCCCTAAGTGTTTCCCTAAGCTTTAAAACTCATCATCACTTCATATTACCAATTATAAAACTTTTTGATGTCACTTCCCAATATCTGGGTTATTCATCATAGTTTTTGGTTGACTTCAGTTCCTAACTCACTGTCATCTTCTTTACAAGTCACATGTCTTAATTCTTCATGATTTCAGTATGTATATAGATGATCCTTTCAAAACCCTAACTTCTCACATCCTTGAGTCCTCTCTTTTAATGCCCTTCTTCTTCACCCTACATAAACAATTCACCACAGACCTTGTCATTACAAATATCTGCACATCCTTCATGAATTTCATGAATCCCATTGTCTCACCACTGCTGGGTAGCGTTTGAGATCACTTCCTGCAAAATATAGTCTCCAACAATCCCTCTATCCCGTAGGGGCTCCAAATCTTACTGCATTGTCATTGCCCCTCACCCATTTGGTGTCCTTTTGTACTTAGCCAGCTCAAATACTGTGGTCAATCAAAATAATATTTCTTTCACATAATTCCTTGACTCTTCTGTCTTTTTCTCCTGTTCAAACTCAGTGGACAAAAGCTCCATTTTTTGGTTAAACCCAACTGTGTACCTCTGTTTCTGCATCCACGCATCTCATGGACCTCACTTACGTTGATGACACAAACCTTAAATGACCTTTAGACAGTCCAACAATCATACCTCTCCAGGTCCTTCATTTCCCACTCTCCCGGATGGCTCCTTTATACGTTTTTTCTCCTCAAGCTTCCAACTCTCCTCTCTTCTCCCTAATTTCAGGGGATGGTTTACCCTCTGCCAGTGTAATTTCAACATTAGGAAATATGTCTTACAGACTCCCAGTACCACATCACCCACCTATCAGGATCTGCACCCTATATTCCGCCTTTCCAACTGTTAACTTAAAGAACTCCAATGTTGTTATGCCAAGCCAATCCATCCATTTATTTTCTAGACCCAATCCTCTTTCCATTTGAAAATACTGCTCTTGCAGTTTTCCACTCGCTCTCACTGATTTCGCATTTTATGCTGCTTTCTTTTCAGGAGCACAAAAATATTTTGTTTCTTTTTGCATACTAAGAAACAAAACAAAATGATATGAACAACAACACAAACTTGCTTGACACTAGTGGACTCACTAAAATATAGTTTTCAAGTGCAAAATTAGCCAATAATAGGAATATTTCACAACATGGCCTTTCAAAAAAAATTTATGAACTGGTAATTATATAATAGGTAAGTTTAAAGTCTAAAGGAGTAATACACACAGGGAAGAATTTTTGGCGTTTGAATAATCTGCCTCATTCATCATATATGGTTAGGACCATGGGGAAGCAAATTATTTATGTCAAATATCAAAACAAAGAAAACATTTGAATATTTATTTATTTATTTATTATACATTGTTCTTTAAGGCCTTTAGAGAAAAAAAAGTAGGCACATTACCAAAATAAGATAAGAAATAGGGGCCGGCCCCGCGGCTTAGCAGTTATGTGCACGCGCTCCGCTACTGGTGGCCCAGGTTCGGATCCCAGGCACGCACCAACGCACCACTTCTCCGGCCATGCTGAGGCCACGTCCCACATACAGCAACTAGAAGGATGTGCAGCTATGACATACAACTATCTACTAGGGCTTTGGGGAAAAAAAAAAAGGAAGAGGATTGGCAATAGATGTTAGCTCAGGGCCGGTCTTCCTCAGCAAAAAAGAGGAGGATTAGCACAGATGTTAGCTCAGGGCTGATCTTCCTCACAAAAAAAATAGAAATAATGTGGATTCCTCATTTAATTAAATCATACCCAGGTAGATAAACAGATGCATATGTGTTTGTGTTCACAGAGATATACAAAATATTGATCAATAAACATTGATCAATAAAGTTTCAATGAGGCCCATGAATTAAAAATGTGTGACAAATAACATTTTAAATATAAATATGTAACCACATCTGCAGTGCATACATGTACTTCTCTCCACTGCTCCACTGCTCAGTTGCTTTGTGATTTCCAACAGCCCAAGGAATTTCTCAAAGTCCAGAGATTTATTGACATAAAGCCATCAATCAGAAAGTTCTAGTATCATTTGAGACAAAAAACGTGGGTCCAAACCACATTTATTTACATATAAAACACATCTTGCTTTTCATACCGTTGCAGTCATGGAAGAGATTGTGATATATTTTAGTCAATCATTTTAACTTTGCTCTATTTTTCAAAATACTCAGCAAGAATCTAACTTCAGAAATTTATGCTGATTATTTTTTTTCTTTTTTCTCCCCAAAGCCCCAGTACATAGCTGTGTATCAGAGTTGCAGAGTTGTAGCTCTTCTATATGAGACGCTGCCTCAGCATGGCTTGATGAGTGGCAAGTAGGTCCACGCTCAGGACCCGAACCAGTGAACCCTGGGCAGCTGAAGTGGAGCATGCAAACTTAACTGCTACACCACCAGGCCGGCCCCAATATGCTGATTATTTTAATACTAAATATTTGAAAGATAGTAAAAAATTAAAAGTAAAAATAAATGAATTTATAAAGTTATTTTTATACTTACTATAGATGGAAAGAAAGATATATTTATATTATTAAAATATTTCTGTCTTCCTAGATATTTTGGGAGCTGGAAATAATCCTCATCTGTAAAGCTCTAGTTTTTATTCACATTTGTGTACATTTTTGAGGTTTAAAATGGGAGTGGATTAAGAACACATTTCATAGAGGCCGGCCTGGTGGCATAGCAGTTAAGTTCCCGTGCTCCACTTCAGCCTCCCAGGGTTTGCAGGTTCAGATTCCAGGTGTGGACCTACACATTGCTTATCAAGCCATGCTGTGGCAGGCATCCCACATACAAAGTAGAGGGAGATGGGCATGGATGTTAGCCCAGGGCCAATCTTCCTCAGCAAAAAACAACAACAAAAAAAAGAACACATTTTATATTTAATTTTCCCCTCAAAATCCCATCAAAATTACAGTAAACGTGTAAAAAATGTAACACATTTCTAATAACATTGGTTATAGGAATATAAATACATTGACAAAGACCAGGAAGACAGAAAATATTTATGGCAATTAATTAAGTATTGTCAAATAAACCATTCTGCTTCAGCCATTACACATTGCCCATTTAGAACAACTACTATAGTTGCAGAAGGAATCAAATCTTTTAATTGAAAGGTACACTGAATTCCCTGACCTAGACACATAGATATGAGTTTTCAAAAGTCTGATGAAAAATATGTAATTCTAAAATATCTATGTGATGAAAAAACTTACCTACAAAGGAATAAAAAGTGAACAGCAGTCAAATTTGTCACCAACAGTGTAGCTTGCTAGACTCAGTGTTGACTGGTAAATATTCAGCAACTGGCCCAGTTATAGTTTCCTGTAGTCTGAGAGAGATCTTGAAGGACAAACCATGAAGACCAGTACATACAGGTGAGAGTGTTCAGGTTTAATCTCTCTGTCCAGATGGGATCTCTGTCTGGGGTTATTTGCACAGGAAATAGGCAAAAAGCAATAAGACTGGAAGCCTACTTTTTTTTTTTTTCTGAAATGTATTGTTAAAGAGACTACACGTTAGTCTGTAGAAGCCTGCGACTGTGCTATCCCAAACTGGGCCAGCCAGCAAAAATTTAGCTTCAAATGCACTGTAGATCTCAAAAAGGATACAGAGGGTAATAGAAAAGGAAGAACCACTTAGGAAGCAGAACCAAGCTCAATAGACAGCAAAAGACAAAGAAATTTCTCCTAGAAAGCAGCACAGGGCTAACAAATGGGTTTACCAGACAGTAACTATAGACCAGTTGTTTCAGTGTTTTTTTTTTCTATTTTTCCCAACCATTGTGTATTTGGTGTGTATGGGGGCAGCATATGCAAATAACCTGCCTTGGTTCTTTTTTATTTTTAGGTTTAGTTTATATGTGGTCAGACTACATGGAACCACAATCAGCCCTAAAAAAGAAGACAACACATCAGCCAGAAATCCTGAGGTGGATGATATAATGGGAGAGAACTGTGGATTCTGTGTGCAAATAGAAAGATATGCAGGTATATTTGTGGCTTTTCAAGAGAATGAAGTGTGGCAGAGACAGCTAGCTGCCCTCTACTCTCTCTTCTTACAATGGAAGAGTGTTTAGTTGGGCAATGGTCACCCAGCTAAAGAAAAGTTTTCCCAGTGTCTCTTGCAGCTAGGTGTGGCTCTGTGTTCTAGGTTCTGACCATGGCAATGTAAATGTAAAGAGTTGTCAGGGTTCTTCCCTTAACAAAAGGAGAATCCCCCCCTATACATTACTGCCTGTCCCATTCTTTCCTTTCTCATGCATAAATATTGATATGGTACAGGAAATTGGAGTATATATATTGGATCACAAGAATAAAGCCTTGTGTTGAGGATGACAGAGAAATGACACAGAAGTCTGATAATTATGGAGATGCTTTACCCTACAGTTATGTGAGAAATAAACTATCTTTTTTTAAATCACTTATTTGGAGTCATCTAATTCAGCCAACTCCAATATCCAAACTAACATAAGAATGTACTCCAGGAAAATGAAAACAAAGATTTAAAGAAAAAGGAAGACAAAACTGTCTCCATGAAGAATGTCCTATTAGCAAAATTAATATGATTAAATTTATTTTATTAAGAATTTGGAAGGTAAAGATGTCTCTTTGATCAACAAAAAAGTAATTCCCAATCAGTAAAATGTGTATTATAGTAATTGCAATATTTTCATATGACTCATCTATATATTAAAAAAAATTAACTGGAAACTCCAGGAAAAAACCCACAGTATAAATAGTTATGATATGATTATAAAGCAATCTAATGTGTGATACAGTTTTGAGCAATTGTTAAGAGTGTAAGAAAGAGAGTACATTGAATCTGATGGTTTGAACATTCTCCTTCAAGTGGTTTAAAGAAAAAGATTTACATTTTCTTACTTAAGAGTCCATCACGGTGCTTAATTATGTCATTAATAATAATATTTACATAGCCATAACGCTGATTTGTAAATATATTTGAGTGGCATCACAACATACCTTTTAAAAATGCAGTCCCTGGTGGCAGATTTGCTATGTATGAATTTCCTTCATTTATTAGGTGTTAAGTCTTAGGAATTTTCTAAAATCGCTCTATGCATCAGTGTTCTCATCTATGAAATAGAGTTTTAAAAATAGAACCTCATTTATAAAGTAGGGTTCTAAAAATAGAACCTTTCTTACAGGATTGGTTTGATCATACTTTAAGATAATTTATCTCATGTACTTAGTACTTAGCACACTGTCTAGCACAAGATAAACCATAACTGTTAGCTCCTATTAAACAGTGTTCAATGTTTTTCAGTATATAGAATATATCTTTAAACAAAGCAATGTATGCTGTTATAGATACAGTATAGATTACCGATGCTAGAAACCCTGACAGTAGTAGAGCAAAAATAAATCAGAGGGTGGAAGGAAGTACAGCTATGCCACTTTCCTTATACTGGAGAATAAGTAAGCAATGAATATTATCAATAAATAAATATATCTAAATCTGACAGATCAGCAATAGATTTATACTCTGTTTTAAATTATAAAGGTAACTAAGAGACGAATTATGAATTATATAATTAACAAAAATTTGGGAAAGGAGGTGAAAAATAAAAGAAGAGAGTTAATTGGGTGATTTATATCCTTCAATTTGCTCCTATTACTAACAATAACATCATGTGAATCTTTATTATGCATTATACGTAGTTCTGAATACTGGATGAATATTAATTTAATGAATCCTTACAATAACTTATAAGAGATATACTATTATTTAAAAATTAGAAAATGTAGGCACAGAACATTCAGATATTTTTCTCAAGACCCAAGTCAGCCTCCAGAGGCTGTATCCTATATTTACTACCTTTAAGAATAGAGAGCAGGATATGTAACCTCAAATTGCTATATTGTGTTTTAATTGTATTCTTTACAATTATGGTAGTAATAATCAAATCAAATAAAACCAGAATTATTTATTTATTTATTTACTTTTTTGCTGAGAAAGATTAGCCCTGAGCTAACATCTGTTGCCAATCCTCCTCCACTTTATATGTGGGTCGCCACCACAGCATGGCTAACAAGTGGTGTAACTCTGTGCCTGGGATCTGAACCTCCAAACCTCGGGTGCCGAAGCAGAATGCCTGGAACCCAACCACTATGCCACTGGCTGGCCCCAAAACCAGATATTTTAAGGAGTGATGATTTCTAGAGACCAGTCTTATCATTTGGTGATTATGGAAGGGATATGTTACAATCTATATAATTTATTTTTGTATGATAAAATTTTTCTCTTTTACCATATTAATATATTATTTCTTTTAAAACAAAACAAGAGTGAAACTCTGTGGATAGTTTTCCATTGTGGGAGTTGTGAAACCTTATTTGTTGACACAGTAATTTTTATAATTATACTGTATTGCCGGTCATATTTATAATAATTTCTGAGCTTTCTGTTGTACCTTTCACATACATGGCAAACATTTACGCATGTTAAATTATTATTTAATTTTCTAATTACACATATGAATCTGTAATCAAGTCATAATTTTAAAGGCATTGCAAATTTAGAGATGATGATATATTCTTTGCTTGATAGTAAACCTACTGTTCATATTTTAATGATAATTTATCAGGAAGAGATACAAGTGAGCCAAGACTTATCCTTGTAGGTCGGTCTCTTAAAAAAGAGGTTGGTCTCCTACAAAGCTCCCTGAAAAATGACCAAGGCCGACGTGAATAACAATGGTTCAACCTCAACCAAGTGTCGGTCATGTCAGGGGCAAGCCTGCTGTCTCCCCTGCCGGGAGTGTTGAAGTAGCAAACCATGCAACCAGCTCATGCATCATTCATACAGATGCACTTGCTAGACTTGCACCCCAGGCCCCGACCACAGCAGAAGAGGGGATGGCATTACTTCAACCATGAACCTGTGTTGGTGAACTGATGGTGGAGCCTAGGCTCAGCCAGGTCATGTGTTGGTCCCAGCTACAGACATAACAAGAGGAAGGACTAGAAGACCCTCCTGGGACAGCGTCCCAAAACAGAACAGAAGTCCCCCACAGAGCTGCAGGAGAAATCTCAGCCAGGGTCCCTGCTTCCTCGGCCTCCCGGTACTCGCCCTGCAGCAGGTGGCAGAGAAGGCCCCCCACAGACCTGCCCAGGGGGCCCCGGCTGGCCCCGCAGACACTCCTGATGTGGAGAGACCGCCCAGCCTGCCCCCTGAAAGCTGGAGGGGTCAGGCCCCAAGTCCTCAGACAGAAGAGGCCGATGGCCAAATGGCCGACTCTGGGAGGAGGGGACCCAGAAGGCTAGAATTTGACTTCTCTGATGATGTGGCCAGCAGACGGCCGCCCCATCAAGGAAACTGGGGAAGAGACCCGGCCCCAAACCGCCCTCCAGGAGGTTAGAGGAGAGGCAGAAGGCCCCGAGGAGGTGGGCGAGGGCTGAGTCCCCCTCCTGGGGCTCTTACCACCTGGACTGGGACAAGCTGGTGACCTGAACTTCAACCCTCTCATGGGGGCGGGGAGGCCAGACCCTCAGGGCAGGCCAGAGGGACACTCGGTTTCCAGGTAGCTCGGGTGATCCTGTGCCGGGCCTGCCACTGCCCTCTGCCCTGGGATCCCCCCGTGGACCAGCTGCAGGGCAGCCGGAAGGACCTGGACGCGGCAGTGGAAGCGACACCAAAGGAGAGCCTGTTGCTGGAGAGCAGGTGGGCGCAGCTCCCCGGGAAGGACCCAGAGGTGGGGAAGGTCACGGGTGGGCTTGAGGGGATCGTGTACTATGCACGGAAGAGGCCCAGAAACAGAAGGAACTTGCCAAAGCTGAGATCTAGAAGGTTCTGAAAGAAAAAGACCAACTTATTGCACACCTGATCTCCATGGAAAAATCCTTCTCTGACCACTTCAAGCGGTTTGAGAAACAGAAGGAGGTGATGGATGACCTTGGCCTTCCAGGGGGCCTGAGGAAGGAGCAGATGCACATCCAGTCACTGGAGAAGACCATTGACCAGAAGAGTAAAGAAAACACTGAACTGACCAGAATCCATGATGAGGTTATTTGCAAGATGGAGATGATCTGATATGTAACATATATTTACCTCAGTGATTAATTTAGGTTATAAATCGTGAATTATTATATCACTTTTCTTTTATTTCCTTTAATGTCTATGTTCTTTCTGGTTTCAGAGGGATACATTCTGGGTTCTTCAAGAGTCCTTGGGCTAGTACCTTTACACAGCCAAACGGAAAAAGATAAATTTAAAAAGAATAAATAAAGCTTCCCAAAAAGATACAAAAAAAAAAAGAACCAAGCTATCAAAATCATGCAGCCGACACGGAACAACACAAAAAAAAAAAAAAGAAAAAAAGAAAGCCAAAAAAAAACCACACGAACCACCATACACCAGACCCAAAGAAAAAAGACAGATGGGAAAACCCAAAGCACACAACACTCGTCGCGCAGGGACCAGTTCACAGAAACATGGCGCAAGCAAGGCCCCCAAAGACACCACACAGGCATCGGCAAGCACAAAGAACGATATACTCACACACAGAAAAACAAAGTAACACCAAAAAACAAGAAGAGCAAAAAGAAATGAAAAGTGTACGTCAAAAAATAAACAAAACAGAATCCAGCAAGAGTAAAGGAAGCTCGGGCACCTTGGCTGTGTAAAGGTACTAGCCCAAGGACTCTTGAAGAACCCAGAATGTATCCCTCTGAAACCAGAAAGAACATAGACATTAAAGGAAATAAAAGAAAAGTGATATAATAATTCACGATTTATAACCTAAATTAATCACTGAGGTAAATATATGTAAACATTGGGTATTGATAACAAGTATGATCATGATATAAATTTTATTTTAGATGAAATATCGTTTTCTAATGACTTCTCATCTGGGAGAGTTGTGATTGTTTTAAACCTTCACATATTTTTCTGAGATTTGCTTTTGTATGTTTTGGTTTGAAGTACATTCCTTTCTTTAGAAATAGAAGTGTAACATCTGCTTAATTCAGCTAAATACTGTTCAGATAGCGCTGGCCATCAGTAATGGTAATTTTTAAGAGGAAATAATTTATCATTCTTCCATTCACTTTGTTTTTGTTCTGTATATATGACAATATATCTATCAATATCATTACCCTTTCATGGAAATTTTAATAAAGTTTAGACAAATGAGCAGCTTCAAAAACATTTTAATCCCCCATTTATTCCCTTTAAGGCTGTGTCTAATTTTGTAACTGGCACTTGACAAGGCAATGAGTCTTCCTTCTAGCCTGCTGTTAAAATATTACTTTTGCATGAAATTCCCATTGGAATGATATGCCAAGAAATATGTCTCTAAATTCCTTTTTCTATGATGGAAAAATTACATAGTTTCAAAATATTTAGCTACACAGAAGATGAGAAGTTAATTTTTAAAGAATCCACGTTATACTGAAAAACCAGGAGATTGTCAGTCTTGGTGCAAGATGCTCACAACTTTTGATTATCATTGTAGTTTTTCAGACTTATGCAAAATCAGATTATAAACTATAATAGGTGTGTGTGTTTGTTGCGTTTTTAAATTTTTGCTTCTTAGACATGCTCTTGGAAGACAGAAAATGTTCTAATACATGACTTTAATTGACACAGTCATCTCTTGGATGTTGTATAGCAAAGGCATTGCTACTATAGGGAATGAAGCTACAGGCAGGTGGAAAATCGAGGACCTCTAAATTATAACAGAAATGATTTTAATAAGAAGTATTTTAAATAACATGAGCTGGCTTGGGAGTAGAAAAGTGATAGGTCACTTTTTCTTAGGGGAGAGAAAAGAAGCTAGTTTCCTTGAAAGAAAGGGCATTGGTTTATCCATTCTACCGCATATAAGTCATTTGTGGATGATCTGAAGGCTTTAGAGATCACATCACACCTGACAAAGACAACTAGGAGGGCTGCAGGGACCGAAAAGGCAGAAAGCAGAGCAATTGAAGGCAGTGCTCTTTGTGGTGGTTATGGTGGATCACCCGAATCATTCATACCTGGGGCTCGTTATTAGAACTCAAAATCTTGGTCTCCAAACAGATCCATAGAATGAGAATATTTGTAGCTTGGGACCCATCACATTTGCACTCTTGATGATTCTTAGGCTTGTATCCTTGTGCAGGATTTGATGATAACTGTTGCCTCTCCCTATCTGAGTGGGGCTTCTTGGTTTCATACAACAGTTACTGAGTTAATGATTTTACCTAATGTGATGTTAATGTAATCTCTCAGTATAATTCTATGGCAGGAATGGTTGCAGGATACAGTCCTGTGTGGAGAAAAAAACATTGCTGTTTCTGTTGTAGGTACGTAGTGAGTCAGACAAGAGCAGGGGAAGGGACAAAAGCTGCCAAACCGGCATGGAAGAAGCCTCCTCCGATGGCCCCATTCAACACCCACAACGTTCTGTTTTGCAGCTCGCTTATGCACAGAGCTAGCTTCCACCTGCTCCATCCTAACCTCATCCTCGTTATATTAAAATCATAATGAATTTACATTGCAGCTTTGACCTCCCTTGCGGGGGATAAAAGCCATGACAGTTTTGCCACGGACCATCTAAGGAGAAAAACTCCCCCTCTCGACGTGGAGGAGGGCACGAGCCGATGGGTGGAACCCCCTCAAACCCCTGTCTTTTCCCCCGCCTCACAAATGAACAAACCTGCATAATCCACAGCCCACCCAAACCTCGGCACTGCGCCCACCTTGAGCCTGCCCGCTCCCTCTCTTGGAAGGTACTTTCGCTTCGCAAATAAATCCCTTCCTGCTTTCAATTCGCCTTTGTGTGTTCGGTTACAGATTCTTTTGCAACGTTGAACCAAGAGCCTGGAAACTGGTCCACCCACCTGGTAACAGTTCAAGGGAAGAGTTATATACTAATAGCTGTCAGAGCTTACTGGGGATGCCAGGCATTGCCTTAATGACTTTAACTGTATTAGGTAAATTAACCCTCGAAGCTACTATAATAGAGGCCCCATTCTTAAGATGAGGAAACTGAGGCATTGAGCAAGTAAGAAACTTACTCAAGGTCATAAAAAAGCAGAAGGCAGAGCTGTGCTTTAAACTGAGGTGATCTGTCTACAGACTCTGTATTCTAAGCACCATACTCTGGTATGAAATAATAAGTATGGTACTTACACTGAGGGTCTAGGACTGTGGTTTATACGTTTTCTTGGGTCACAAAACCCCCTGAGACTCTAACACAAGCTGTGGACCCTCTCCCCAGGGGAGTGCACAGGTGCAAAGGCAGGCACGAGTTTGCCTGCAGTTTTAAGTGGCTCAGATTCCTCTGAGCCCACCCACAGGCCAAGTTCATAGATCCCAGCTTATAAACGCGTGTCCTTGGGAATAAAGTGCCTGCTCTGGGATAGGCTTTATAACACAAGTTTTCTCATTTCTTTCTTTTTGAATTTCAGATTTGGGGTTATATTATATTTACCTAATCATTCCAAACTGATATACTGAAATGTATTGGGGGATTTATAAATTTCTTAAAATATTCTCTCTATAGAGTGGAAAGAATCAATTAGAAGTAAAGAGGAGACAAAGGGATTTTTTTTTTTCAAGGTCAGAAAACTGAAGTAATCCTAGAGCCGTTCCTCCTACTCTCCTCCGTCTGAATTCTGTCGCCTCATTGTCTCCCTCTCCATCACTGTCTCGGCTCAGCTCTTCATTTCTTCCTCCTGGATCCCTGCCCATTTATCAGCTCTCCTTTCTGTTGCCAGCAAACCCTCTCACTCAAGCTCCCCCAGCTGCCTGCTGAGATTTGTAAAATGATTGAAGCACACGCCCTGCTTCTGGTTTTGGGAAAGTACTTCTCTGCAGTGCAGGGTGATAGGAACTCTGGTGGCCACCGTAACCAGAGTGCCTGAGGCCAGATTCCTGCTCTGCTGCTTATAACTGTGTGGCCTTGGACAAGTTCCTCAGCCTCTCTGGGTGTTGGTCTTCTCAGCTTTAAAATATGTATAATTATAATACTTTCCATTTACAGTTATTGAGAGGATTAAAATAAATATATTTAAGTGCTTAAAACTGCCTAATGACTAGAAACCATGTGATCATGTTAGCTTCTTTACAGAGCACGTGCAATCCCTAAATAAATGGCCATACAGGACAACGAACCTCGAGTGTCACTCTCCACACAAGTAGGGTGCTAAAGAGTTGAGGAACATAATGTTTACACAAATAATCTGAGGAAAGCATATCAAGATATTATCTAGGTCCACTTAAAGAACCATTTTAAAAAGTAAGACTATCCTGGTTCTTGAAACTAAAGTCAGTATTGGAAGGGCCATTTCCTTCCTATTCCTGGAGAGAAAGCAGAAGTGATGTCATTTGTTCCTGCACGTATCTCAGAATACAGACAGTATAAAGAGACACACTTGTCAAAAACACTAAATAAATAGTTTATTTACGGGCTGGCCTCATGGCATATTGGTTAAGTTTGCACGTTCCACTTTGGCAGCCCAGGGTTCCCCAGTTCGGATCCTGAACGCAGACCTACTCACCACTCATCAAGCCATGCTGAGACAGTGTCTCATAAAGAAGAGCTACAATTCTACAACTATGCTACACAACTATGTACTGGGGCTTTGGGGAGAAAAAGGAAAAAGAGGAAGATTGGCAACAGATGTTAGCACAGGGCCAATCTTCCTCAAAAACAAAAAAAATAAGAAAAAGAAAAGGACAGAGGCTGACAACAAATGTAAAAAAAAAAAAGAAATAGTTTATTTAATAACCTGACATATTTTAAATTTATATGATACAATTTACTTTTCTAAATATATACGTGATATTTAAAACAAGAGGAAATAGGAAAAACCCTAATAGTAATGCTAATT